ATGTGAAAAGGCAATATCTACATTGAATGCAACGCTTCCAGAGTACACGTCAAAGGCTAATACAACTGCAGTCACCCACACATCACAAGACTTTTGACCTCGAGTCTTTTATAACTGAATCTAGAAAATCTCCCCATCTGTTCTGACATTGAGGAAAAATGTCTTCATTTCCCAGAATTCCCATAAACTCCCTGGAAAAAACATCAGACTGTGAAGTGACATAAATGACTGTGAAATGTATTTAAGCAAGAAATTGTGTGGGATTTTTAATTATGTTTATTGTCTTAGCTTAATAATGATGGACCATTTGTATTTAAACTTATCTTTATATTTACAAACAGATCTAAGAAGGTTAGTATTTATAGGTAGATAGGTCCATAGGTACAGAGGTTACTAGGTAGCTAGAGTAGGTTGGTAGGTTTGTAGTCAAATCTGTAGCCATTTTAAAAGTTTCTTAAAAAATTCTGAATCAGAGATTTGCCATGACATTTATCTGCTACATCCATGAGAGGAAGCCGGCAGGACCCAAATGCAGCATGAGGGAGACTCATGCTGCATTTGGTAGTTTATTCACAAGGTGCATATATCCCAAACTCACTGGGTCGCAGGAAGACAAGGCATGAACCCCACAAGGCACGGCTGTCACAGCATGAGAACCAACCACTAAGCATGATCACAGAACAACAATCCCAGAAAGACAGAGTGAGGGAGAGAGATATACACACCAGGTGACAGGAGTGAGAGAGATGACAGAGGCACAGGTTAGTGTGATGACAGTGATTACACCACACAGCAGACACAGCAGGAGGGAAGAGACACAGTCGGACCTCTTATTGCCATGCTTCAGTTTATAACCCTGGTACTGGTAGACCCTGGTCTAGTTATTGGACAGTTCTGACTTAGACCATAAAAAGAACACATACAGTTGACCAATTAAAAAACTAGCTGAACCAAGTCCAATTAGACTCCTCTCATCATCAGCAGTCAGGAAATCTGAACATGTCATTTTCAGTTAGTCTTAAACATCTTCAAATGACACTGCGGTCATTAATAACTGAGGCTTAGTAACTCGGAGAAAGATGCTGCCAGGTGCAATTTAACTGAACTAAACAACAGAAAAGGAGAAAAGAAATGGGAAACAGTTTGTCCTCAAAGATCAGTATCAACACTGAAGGGCTTATATTCAAATAAAATCATCTCAAAGGACAGCATGAATAAAAATGATATTTCACATTTATATTTATGTATTCAACATAAATGTTGTATTATTTGGAATGATAATATAAATATAACTTTTGTTCAAAAGTAGTTTTTTCTTTTGCAACAGATGTGAATAGAGAGAAATGTAACATTTTATGTTTGCATTAAATATGAATTAAATGGCAGTAACGCAGTTGGCATTGTCATTCACCTTTAAGTAACCCAGAATATATAAAAAAAAAGTCATCAATATCAGATTTGCTGATCTGGACAACTGCAGGACAGGTGAGACTTCAGTTTATTTTAATTCTAATTTTTCAATAATGAGTTTATTTTAATTCTAATTTTTCAATAGCATTATCACTGATCACAAGAAACCATCTGTGTGATTGGATAGAACACTGCTCCATGACTGCAGTATTAAAAACATTATACTCTCCACCATCCACTTCATTTGACAGTTTAAAAAACTTGTGTGGCTCTTGATAAAGATTTACTTGGTGGTAAAATCAAACCCCTGCCTGCTTTGGTGCTTGTCATGCAAAAGGAAAAGACAAAATGAGCTGATGTTTTAAGAGCAAATATCCTCAAAGCAAACTCGTCTCCTCAAGGAAGTATACAGAAAGTGATAGCAGAAGAAAATCCTTACAAACCCTGACCAATCTGTGAGATCACATGTCACACTGTGACCTATTTGTTGCTTTTCAGATGCGGTCCTAAAGAAAGAGGTCTTTTCATATGTAAATAATCTTATCTGATAACCATCTTTTCTCTTATCTGTAAATCTATGGAAACGCAGTCTCTGTCACTGATATTATGAAGTCCTTACAACAACGTTCATTAACCCGAGACTCTTTGGGGACATTTGGGGAAGTTTGATACGTTTACAACTCACAAATTAGCTTAAAGTTTAGATCTTTATTGAACACAGAAAATGTAATTTAGAAAGTACAAGAAATTCCTACAGTACTTTAGTGTCAGCAAAGGCATCAATCGGTGCTGCGGCTGCAGTTAAATAAAAATACTGCAAAGTAAATGATGGAGCAGAGGGGAACAGACTAATTCCCACTGGAGTATGTTTTTCCCAGAGGTGACAGACATTTCTCGCCCTTATCATGTTCAGCAGTGCGGTCTGAATGCCGCTGACGGCACACAGTCCACAATGTCAACATTACATTATTTTTTAGATCACATACTGTGCCACGCTGTGAGCTCTTCAGCTGTCACACTGCTGACAGAGAGAGGACCTTAAAAATGTTTACATTTTTTTTATATCAGAACTCTGTGAGTGCAAAAAAATCAAAAGTGCACCATATACAAAAAACAAAAAAAAAACAAAACAGCAACAGTAAACATTAAACAGGGTGATATCCAACCCACTGGTGTAGAAAATGTTTTCCCAGTTTATTCCAATTTTAAATCCCATTATTTTGATTGTTTGAACAGATCATAAATATTTGCAGAGAAAGTTGTCCTCTGTACTTCACTGAGTGTCTTATGTTCTCAGCTTCAATTTATATTTATTTATTCTCACACCTGGTGTTGTGTAAGGCACTGTATGCCTGGAGAAATCCCATGTGATTTTTTTTTCACTTCCACTCTGCTTGATACAAAGAGTCATTTTATGTTTTCCTGAATCTCATCACATTTTTGTGACTAAAAATAACATCCAGTGTTCAGTCCATGGTGATGGTGAAGGTCTTAATGGGACCACCGTCAGAGCAGCAATAAAACCTTCTTTCAGTTATATATATAGCTCTTACATATCTTTATGGCTTCATGGCATAGATCTGCTAATTGCTAATGTATAATTATTTCTGCCCTGTCTTGTTGATATTGGTTCCGTAATTAACCTAGTTTGGATTAAGGGTGTTTATGGCCAAATATTTTTAATTCTTAAATTTTCTGTTTTGTTTTTTTTTTTTTTTTTTTTTTTAAATATATACATATAATGAATTAGAACCTGAGAAGCTTCCAAAACCGGGTGGAAAGGATTTATTCACAATGTCGATAAAGACAAAAGCCATTGTTATGCTGTGAATAATGCTGTTAAAATACAACACATTTGTTGCCACATAATTGCAGTCTGAGAGCCAACAGGGAAGAAACAGTTTGCCAATAGGAGTTGTTGCCACAGAATTAAAGCCATTTTGTTGCCCTATGTGAGATTATGATTGTCCAACTCCCCCCCCATCCCCCATATTTTATTATAGTTTATTATATAGAATAACAGACCTCAGGGATTTATTCTATGCTGAAACACAGCATAGAATGAGATGCTGGGTTAAACAGAAAATATGACTTTAAATCTTGTTAAGATCATTGCTCAGACATTCTCTCTCTAAGTGGTGTTTTCACATTCTTCTGTCTGTGGTTCACCTGCAGTCTTCAGGTGTAAAGGTGAGTGTAAATGTTTGGCTCTGTGCTGGGTGTTGGCTCTGTAATGAACCATGAAACTGCCCAGAATGTTTGCTGCCTCTCATCAAATGTCAACTACATCTGACTTTAGCTCCCACTGTGCCTCACCATAAAGATCAGTGATAGGGTTTGAAAAGAACTTCATTAAATTTTCATGGCTAGAGAGGCAGAGTAGTATCTCTGAAGAGATATCACTGTGCAGTGTCTCTGTGGATGCCTCCAGCAGACAGGTGGACACACAATCAAACTCTGAGTTTGGGCTTCAAAACACGAGACTGATCAGACTCTGATTCTTTGATCATATCAACCTGTCATCGTGGTGTTGTTGATAAAAACCCAGAACAGTAAAGAGTTTATCCATGGGTAAATGCCAGTAGTGGTTGAGTTGATTCAACTCCTCATCTGTAGGACTTGATTCTCAAAGGCATGATTCTGATTCTTATCAGCATCACTGATAATGGCTGTGTTTAGTTTTATATTTACCTCAGATATTCAAACCCATGACTCATATACAGTATAGTCAGCACGTCAAATTTATCTTGATGAAATACATAAATCAGAAACCTTTAATGGTTTTGTGTCTTTGATTTTGACAAATATTAGTTGGTTTGTGAATGTGTGGTTTCTTGGGGTTTATAGTGTTTTTAGCCCCTCAGGATTAATAATTAATATTAATACAAATGTAATGTATGTCCCTTTCACTTGATCCTTCTCAGTATTACAGGGAAGTCAATTGCAGCAGTCACTAGTAGAAGGAAGGGTTCATCTTGGAGAATTGACCACAGAGACACAAAATACATTAGAGAAACATGAACAAATCTATGTTCATGATGTCAACTTAGAGTGTCCAATTGACATTAACCCCAATCTGTTAGTCAATGACTAAGCATTACACACTTACTATACCTTTAATCCTGTAGCAAAAAAAAAAAAAACACATAAATAAATAAATCATGGTATGTTCCCCAAATCTCCAGTCCCTTATCTTGAAATATTTTCCTGGCTGATTCTAAAAATTCAAGCGTGTAATTAGAACGCCATCTGCTGTTGGAGCTCTTATAATACAGGGTACAGTAGGTTTCCAGGTGTTCCATATGGTGCAACATGATTAGTAAGACATTTTACATGCACGGTAAAACGAAGCTTTTAAGGCACCGAATAAAACAAAAATGACAAAAAAGACAGTGGATAATAAATTAAAATATAATAAATAATATGTGTGTGTGTGTGCATGGAGTTTGAAAAAATGCTTTAAAACATGTATTTATAGCCTGGTTGGCATAACGTGCCGTAAAGTTAAGGTGCTCCAATGTAAATGCACGGGTTGATCTGGCGCTATGCAGTCTGGGGGATTGGGTTTTACTCTGAACTACTTCTCCCAGAATTCTTTTCGCAGTTAGCGTTGCATGCTTTTTCACACACCAGTCCGTCAGGCGGAGTTGCTGCTGCTTGGATAATGTGGAACGTGAACCCCAGCACTAATACCTCGGACACGTAGGCATGGTCCACAGGAATGAGGATACAAACAACTTTGTTCTGAGGTCAACACGTCACTTCCAACGTGAGTCTTTTTTTCGGTTATTCTATGTCTATTATTTTTCACCTGACTGTTACTGTGGGTTAGAGGCTAAACGCTAACAAGCTAACGTCTAGCCAAAGTTGGCAGGTGTTGAGAGACCGGTCGTTGAAAAGTCTCATCTGCTGAATAAATATCTATCAGCAACAACACTGTGAGCATCAATGACACCAAAGCTAAGCATCAGCGTACAACAGCTGTTGTGAAACAAAGACAGTTTTATTGTCCTTCACGCAAAACTGACCAAAGTCAACTAGCCTAAAATAGATGCTCGTGTAAAGCTAACATATGGGAAGCCGCCGACTTCCGGTTTAAACGTACAAAATTAAATGGAGAACTGGTATCCTTGTCATATTGTTCCTCTTTTATTGTTTACACTCTAAATTATTTCCTGCGTAGCTGTAGTACTTTCACAAATCTTTAGCAACCGTTGGACTAGCTTAGTTATCGCTGAATGTTAACAGTGGCTTCACAGATTATGCTCGTGTAACATGAGAGGAAAACACTGATTTTTGAAAAACTTGTAGAATAACTTATCTGTGGATATGGCACTCGTTATTTAGGGGTTTATATATAATTTACATTTAGACGAAAACGATGCCGTCAAGTGAGGCGATCTTTGACCTTAAGTCACCTCGTACCGCGTGGTCCATGATGTGTAATATAGAGATTAGAGATAATACAAGGAATTAGATAGGTCAAGGTTTTCTTGATGTATCTAGACGTGTCTGATAGAATCGCTGCGTATATAAAGTTATTTGTTTTGAGTAGTGAAACACTATACTCTAAAGTGTTTACGTTGTCATCCCGAATCAAAGTTCAAACAGTGCCAATCACTCTGGTCGTGAAACAGGAAATAGCCACTGTTTTTGCTTATAAGCTGTTTGAGTTGCGTGTTGACTGTTATTTTTTATTGTTAATATTTTAGATATTTAGACTTGGCTCTTTAGTGTGTTGTTTACATAGCTTCCCTATGTTTGCACCGAAAATCTCAGCAAAATTATTTTTATGTGCACACAGAACTGCAACTGCTTCTGAATGTGAAACAATATTTTTTAAAAGTTTGTAATTTCTGCTCCTGCTGTCACCCACAGTTTGAGTGCAACATTGCAAGATACAACCAACTCGTTTCAGTCTAACCTTCTTAAAACTGAGAAAATACACAATTAATAACCCTTAAATAGTTCTAATTAAAATTGTGCTTCACTGTGTCAAACTGCAGTTGTAATAATAATAACGGTTCAGTTCAGATAGTCATTGTTGTTTTTTTTAATTTAATGTGTACATTAGCTGTGCTGTGTTAAAAGATCCTTCTTCACCTGGCATCTTGACCGATTATGTGACTCTATTGTCTCTCCACCTGTTGTTGTTGCTCAAAATAGCACGAGACCCCTCCCCATGTGATACATATGAACAACAGTGTCTAATAGTCACCAACATCTGAATGCTGCCTGCAAATGTCTGATGACAATATTGAGCTAAATCACCAATTAAATGATTTAAAGATAAATCAGTGTTATATTTATTTTATTTAGTATATAAAATGTCAGAAATGATTGTGTTAAATAGATAGTTAAATAGTTGTCAAAAAATGTTAAATAAATAACTGATAGTAATTATACTGACTCCACAGAGAAAAATAGATCATGGTGATGATGCAGCGCTTTCTCACTCATTGCCCTCTGTGGAGGATTGTGGCAGTGCACCCTCTGCTGATGGGTAAAACCCTCACAGAGCCAGCAGCTGCAGCAGTGTGTTGCTGCTCTCTTCGGATCATCTCACTGCCTCCTACAGGCCACCGCCATCTCACCACATCATCTTCCTGCTGGACTGCACATCAGTCTGGAAACCTACCTCCACAAAAAGAAGCACAGTCCACAAAAACACCACAGACCCAGGATCAGAGAGAAGAGGCCGCAGCTGAAGAGGTGGATCCTCTGCAGGACAAGTCCATCGGTCTCTTCCAGAGATTTAAGAGGACCTTTAAGCAGTATGGGAAGGTGATGATCCCTGTACACCTGGTGACGTCTTCAGTCTGGTTCGGAACCTTTTACTATGCTGCAATGAAGTGAGTCTGTTTTTATTCTTCTTCAATGGCCATCTGACATGGAAGGCTAGGTTTTTTTTCTTTTTTTAACTTTAAGTAAAATCAATCGAGAAATTGTAATCAGCAGGGTTGCACAATAACATTTCTTTTGAAAAATTGATACCGAACATTCACTTCCCAAGACCAATACCTGAAAATATACGTACCTTTGAGATAAGACAAATGAACAGAAGTGAACCTGAAATATATAATGACATCAATACCATAAATAAATGAAAACAGTTTTGACTTTTAAAATGAAGATATTTAAATCATGCAAAACCACAAAAAAAACTCTAGTTAGGTACATGCGTAGATATAATGTTGTTATCATGCAGCACCAAAACTCAGTCTTCCTGGTGTATATTGGTGATCACTCCTCTGTATGTAATCTGATCTTAAATGTACCTCCTTGTGTTTCCATCAGAGGTGTAAATGTTGTGCCGTTCCTTGATATGATTGGTCTGCCGGAGACGTTTGTCGGCCTGTTGAGAGACTCTTCCAGTGGCTACGCTCTGACTGCATACGCTATGTACAAGGTGACTGAAATTAGACTTACTTTTTTACTTACTGTTTTACACTGGTAAATCAAGTAACTTTAAGTAACTTAGCAGTTACAACTACAAATCCAGATTTGAGCAGTTTTCACTGTGTCTGTTTATAAAGTTGTCTTTTATCAAAAACTTAAAAAACTTCAAAGGGTGTAAACAGTGCCCCCTCGTGGCCAAAGGTGTATGTCATTGGTTAGTGACTTCTGAATATTTGTCACAGGATCTTCCAACCAACTTAAAAAGTACAGTAGTTTTTTCTATAAGAAGAGCAGATAAGTTTTCACAGCAAACCACAAACGCACAGTAAAGTTGGAGTTGCGTGCGACACGTGATTTTAAGTATCTCACAACAGTGGAAGCTCTCCACACGTTTCATGAAGAACACAAATGTCAGCTCAAGGTTTAGGATGAAAACAAAGAACTGACATCTGGTCACACTTCACATCTGACAACTCATTGATACTTCTTTTAATTACAAACAGAGAAATATTTAATTTCATGTGCAGTTACATTACAAACAAAATATATTTTCTTTGACCCATTTGAGAAGGGTGTTGTGCACAATAGCATTATAGCTATAAATTTTAATTTTGTACAAGAAGATGAATGAAAAAATATATATGTGCCATATTACAACTCTTTCTGTGCCTGTACTGGTCAATTAAACTTTAAAACCATCCCAAACAAGATAGATAGATATTTCCAATGCACATAAATTCTTGAGATACCTTTAATCTGACTAAGTCTACCATAGATTTGCCTGACTAAAACTCTTATGGTGTATTCTTGTTGTCAAAATTAACTGGTGGCAAAGAGGTCTTAAAAACATTTTTTGAAGGTCTTAAAGTCTTAAACAGGTATTGAAATTAACTTCAAGACCCCCATATATACTCTGCTCTCTCTCTCTTCCTCCCTCCTCCTCTCACCCCTACTCCCTCCCTCTCTCTCAGATTGCCACCCCTGCTAGGTACACTGTAACTCTGGGCGGCACATCAGTTTCTGTTAAGTACCTCCGCAAACACGGATACTTGGCCACACCTCCACCGGTCAAAGAATACATTCAGGACAAAATGGAGGAGACAAAGGAAAAATTCACAGAAAAGATGGAGGAGACGAAGGAGAGGTTTTCGGAGAAAATGGAGGAAACTAAGGAGCGTTTGTCTGAGAAAATGGAAGAGACTAAGGACAAGCTTTCTGAGAAATTTCACGAAACCAAAGACAGAGTCTCTGAGGGGAAAGCATTTTTTAGAAAGAAAGACAATTAGCAATTGAAATTCTTTTGGCTTGTCAGTGCAGGAGGAAAAAAATATAAATGTTGACCTTGAATAAAAATCATCACTGATTTAGCAGTGAAATGACTCTTCTGAGAGCGTTTTACTGGAGGACAAAAAATAAGCAACACGTTGCACTATCCTTGTCTTGACATTTCACCTCACGAGCCTTAGCTGTCACATGTTGATTTAAATGTCACAGTCGATTCCTGCTTGTTTAAAGCTGCAGTTGACCAGTCAGCAGCCCAGGTTACTCCCAGCTGTCAGTGCAGAAGTGTAACATTATCATTGTCTTATGTGGACTAAAAGTATTTGAACATGCAGTATTTTTCAGACTGCTCAGACCACCATTGGACCTATTGTTAGAACAAAGTTTTTGTGGCCATTTATAATCATCACTTTGTACAAAGTAATACAAATTCAATTCATGGAGTTTGACTAAAAATTAACCCTTCGAGATCTTCAGATCTTCATTCCCTTCCCATTGAATGGCAGTTATTGCCTTTAAAAGGCATTTTGTGCTCTTAAAATAAGAGTATTTCCTCCATTTCTCTCTTTATTCTTAAGGGGGGCACAAAAAAGATTATGTTGAACATTAAATCTGGTTAAAACAATCAGGCTTCATTTGCATAACTCTGTAGTGCAGTAGTATAAGACGTTAAAGTAGCAAAGCAAAGCACGTCATAGTTGCTAGGAAATCATAAACAACTTTGTGTCACCTGTGCTCGCACGCATCAATCAAATCTTCTTGACATGTCTAATGTAACATGATTATTGTTTTTGTAATGTATCTTCATCTGGTAGAACTAACACACACACACACTCACTCATTCACACAAGCCATAGTCTGCTGTCTGTACCATTTACTGTAGAGACTGAGGTGGTTTATGACATGACATCAGATGATTGACAGGAGGCTGCTGCTCAAAGAATATGCCAATTTCCATGTGAGCAGCTGCCAGTCAAACCATGATGTGACAAACACAGGGATGTACATACAGCAGTATGTAAGAACTTAATTTATTGAAGGCTGTTTACGGACCCATGTCGATTGTGATTTCAAAAATAAAAAATACTGATAAAGAAACAACTCAAACTCTGGTGTTAGAGAAAAAATAAATTAAAATATAGGATTATCAATGGTTGCAATAAAAAAATGATGGATTATGGATGAAATATAAATGTCCTCTGAGCTTCTTTTTGCTTTTGGCTATTCTGATAATAGCATTGACTATTAAGGTGTAAGGTGTAAATATTTAAAATATAATTTTTTGTCCCTCTGACAAAAAAGTTTTCTTTTTTTTTAATCTTCATTAACATTTTATCTGCAGGCTACTCTAAATATTATGTTTAACATTAGTTCATGTTCACACAATGAACTATTTTATGTACCTGTGTTGTTTATGGGCGGTCTATGAGTCCATAGCAATGATATGCCACTTTCTGGATAAGGCGGTAACTGACAGGCTGAGTAGTGTGTCAATCAAATGGCTTTTCTGTCATGCACCACTGACATGGTTGTGGATCTGATGGGAAACGACACGTGAGTCTCACACAAAACACACGCAACAGAAAACATCACTATCACACCAAAACTGTTTTTTCAGCAAAATAAATGACACTGAGTTGGATAAAGTTACTACAGTAGAACTTACCAGTGTGTTTACCATGCAGTGTAATGGACAACCGATAGCAGAAAATCTCAAGAGAGATTCAGGTCAAAGACCACTTTGTACATAGCTGTATAGAGTTCTACAACGATGCACAATATATATTTATGGCCACTGATTCTTGTTATAGCCTAGGTTTTAACTTTTGTTTGCTTTTCTGCTACCAATGTGTTTTAGAACCCTGCTATTCCTCGTGCTGAGAAAGCCATCTGCTGGATTGTGATGCAAAATCTATTTGGTGGCGGTGAGGGATTTCTATTTTTTATTTTCATGTTTTGGTCACAGATGGCCATATAATCCACTAAAGGTGTTGGTTTTACAGAGACCTATTTACATTCAAAATGTTTAATTTGACATTAGGTCATTTTTTTTGGGGCCTTATCTACTTATTTTATGTTATATCTGGTAGAATTAAGATAATGCATCAATGTGTGTGCTTTTTAGGTCTAGGTTATGTCTTGGGTACTATAGAATGGTTGTTTGGTTTGTGTGGGTAAAAGTAAAATACTATACCAATAAGTTCCTGAACAAATCTCCGAAAATAAAAGTTTTTCAAAAATTACTTAAAATGCACTCATCTGCCTTAAAATACTTAGCTATGTCCATTTTTGTTGTTAAAATTCAGAAAAAATATACTTTAATAGGTTGCCACCTCTTGATCACAGTAAAATACTATACCAATAGGTTCCTGAACAAATCTCCGAAAATAAAAGTTTTTCAAAAATTACTTAAAATGCACTCATCTGCCTTAAAATACTTAGCTATGTCCATTTCTGTGGTTAAAATTCAGGAAAAAAAATACTGTTGTGGTACGCCAACATTTGATCACAGTAAAATACTGTATACTGAACAAATCTCAAATAAAAGTTTCACTTGGCAGCATGTTCTAGGGCATAAACTTGCATTTTGAGGTATTTCTGGGACTTTTGCATTTTTTCACTAGATAGATAGATAGATAGATAGATAGATAGATTGATTGATTGATTGATTGATTTACTGATTGTCTGTCACACAAGAGGACTGGCTCAGTTACACACACACACACACTTTCTAAAGAGTACACTTTTCACAAAGTGAGTCAGTGTCCAGAGTAAAAAAAGCCAAACCAGCTGTCGACATCGCACTGTCACACCTTTCACACACCCCAGTCTGCCGCCTTCATTATAAATCCTATCTATATGTAAATATGATGGTGATGATGAGATGTGGGCAAAACATTACAATGACCTCTGCTGTCCAAACTAATGAACAACTGTTTATGCAGTCCAGAGCTACACACACTGACAGTAAGTGAGTGTGTGTCACAGGGGGCAGAGCCATGCTGAAGAGTGGAGACAGTGTGTGTGTTTCAGGTGTGAGTCAGAACATGACTCAGGTGTCAGGACGTGGTTGTGAAGCCTGAGGTGAAGCACAGGTCAGGAGGAAGGGAAAAAACACTGTTGCAACTGCACAAAGTCAGTGATTTTCTCTGCTCTGCACCAGGTCTGGAGGACAGTCGTCAGGTCCCAGCCTCAGGTCTGAGTGTCTGCTGACCTTCATTGCCTTCTTAATGGACACCCTGTGTAAAAAAAGGCAAGTGGACAACATTACTCATCACAAAACTAGTCTTTTTTCTAGTTTTGAAATTTAGTGACAGTTAAAAAAAACAATTGAGTTTAAACCAATTTTACACTGAATTGTCAGCTTGCTTGCTTGCTAACAGCAATGCTAACACTCTTCATACCTCAACATCAGATGTTTAATTTATATATATAGATATAAAAAGACCTGGCAGAGGTTCTAAAATCTCCACCAGTGTCATGTCTCACCTGAGCAAAGTCCTACTGATGTATGCATGTATTCTTCGGCACAGACGCCACACTCTGCCAGCTGTTAAGGTATGCATATGTGAGTGTGTGTCGAGATGGTCGTGTTTTTTCAAACCACAGCAGGAGGTTCACAGAGAGGACGGGAGGTGGAGTCCCCCCAACTCCCCATCCCCTTTCTGTGATAGAGACTGCGCTCCAAACGTTAGCTTTGTTTCTATACGACAGGTAAACGGATGGAGGTGTGTCTAAAAATTAGGCAGAGTTACTGCAGAAAAAAAAGAAACCTGGGTTTATTCAGTGGCACATGAGCAGGAATCTCCGGGGCGAAAGCCAATTGCATTCTTTTAGTTACACTTGCATTTAAAATTTTGAAATAAACAATGTAAAATTTAACATGACTGCACTGTCGTTCCCTTACCCCCACCTTTCCTCAATAACTAAGTCTAAGGTATTCAAAATAGACAATATTGTTACCCTGTGTTTTTCAAGAAACTAAGTGATGTACATTGTTTACCCAAGCCCTGTGAGGTTTAGATAACAGAACCTTAAACCAAACCTCCTATGCTGCCATTGATCTTATTTCTAAAGCTTTGATTTAAATTTATTTTTTTTACATCTGCCATTTGTTGGGATAAAACAAACCCAAGTTTCCTCTTGTGTGCAGTTGACTTGTTGCATTTAAAATGATAGTATTGAAATTTTTCATATGTAGATGGCCATTTAAAGAACAAATCATACTAACTGTTCCTGAAAACACTCTCTCACTTCTCTCACTTCTGAATACTCTCAACTTTGAGCAGCCCTGTTATTTTTTACAACAACGCTGTAAAAGCCAAATAATTAGTCAGTGCTGCAAGTAACAGGAAGTATACCTGGAAAAGAAGTAACAATTTCTGATGAACCCAAGAATGCTGATGGAAGGACTAATGTAAAGCCAGTGTTTATACCATCAATATACAGTACTAAAAACTAAGACACATTAAGTGCAGCCCATTTTTGAACAAGTTCCATTCTAACATGGTGTATGACCAGTTCATTCATTATCTTTTTGTTGTTTACATCCTTTGGTTATTTGAACTAGGACAATGTTAGCTATCTCACCTGTTTGTTTGCAGTTGTTTTATTAGGATCTTTCATCACAAACCCACACATATGCACCAGTGGGAACGTTACCTGTGGATGTGTTCAACAGGGAGATCCTGGAACTCTTTTTGCTGTTGGTATAAGAGGAATTGTGGGTATTCCAGTAAGTCAATTCATATTATTTGTTCCCTTCCATCTCAGTTTACAGTCGTTAATTATACAGTATTTTCATCTTGTTACTGTTACTGTAGTGTAAGTGGAAGCAGCTAAATGAATATAGAACAGAGTTATTTTTTGAACTCACATAAATAAATAAATTATAAAAGGCAGTTAAATCTGTGAGGTGTGGAATGACAGATGGAGACACAGTAGTAGAAGTCTCTTTACAAGAAGACAGCTACCTAGTCAATCTACAAAATACTTTATGCTCATAAATAGGTTTTCCCCAAAGGAGCTATCTGCAGAAGGCTGAAAATTAAATGCTTTGTCAGTATTTATAGAAACTGCACACTGGGAACTTCTGTAGATCAGGGTAGAGCCATTTTTATTCCAGTGTCTTACTGTGTTTTTATGTACTACACCATGACTAACATTTCTGAGTTCACAGGGCCCAAAAGTGAGTGAGAAGAAATCTGTTCAGCTGTTGTGGAAGGTTAGTATGTTTTTAATGAAGGTTCATAAGAAAACCACTCTATTGAGCCAATGCATTGTTGTCCTTTTTGTCTCTTAAACGGTGGCATTGAATGTCCATTTTTGACGTCCCCTTTGACGTCACCGATGTTGCCAATTTTATGGTGTCAGGAAGGTTGTTCCAGAGGCAAATATGTATTTGTTTATATATATATATATATATATATGTGTGTGTGTGTGTGTGTGTGTATGTGTGCTTACATATATATATGCGAATATGACTAGTGTAGTGAAGCCATGGTAGGAATAGTGACACATTAAAGGTGATGACAATGTGTATTAGCACGACACTTATTTGCATGACCAAAATAAAAGGCTGAACATATTTGTGTCTTATGTACCAATGATATATTCAATAGCTGTTTGAATATAGAGTGTGTAGAATATATATGAAGTCCACTATATTATAGCAAGTTATTACTATTATGAAACAACTCCCCAATGTTCCTTGATGCTTATAATGCATCTTCTTCTTTTTCGTTTGGCTTTGTCCTTTTTTCAGGGGTTGCCACAGCGAATCATTGATTTCCATCTCTCCCTGTTCTCTGCATCTTTTACTCTGACTCCTGCCTGGTAGTTCCATCTCTAACATTCTTCTCCCAATGTATCCACTGTTCCTCCTCTGCACATGTCCAAACCATCTCAATCTGGCTTCTCTAGCTTTTTATCCAACCCTTCCTGTCTGTGTTGTTCCTCTAATGACCTCATTCCTGATCCTGTCCAATCTTGTCACTCCTAAAGAGATTCTTAGCATCTTTAACTCTGCCACCTCCAGCTCTGCCCCCTGTCTTCTGCCTATTGCCACCGTCTCTAGACCATACATCATGGCTGGTCTCACCACTGTCCTGTAACCCTTTACCTTAGCTGACACTCTTCTGTCACAGATCCCTCCTGACACTTTTCTCCAGCTGTTCCATCCTGCCAGTACTCTATTCTTCACCTCTCTTCCACAGTCTCCGCTGCTCTGAACAGTTGATCCTAGGTACCTAAACTCCTGCACTTTCACCACCTCTGCTCCTTGTAACCTCACTATTTCACTGTTCTGTCTTTCGTTTACACACATGTACTCAGTCTTGCTGCGACTGATCTTCATTCCTCTTCTTTCTAGTGCAAACCTCCACCTCTCTAGGGTCTCTTCTACTTGCTGCCTACTCTCACTACAGATCACAATATCATCTGCAAACAACATGGGGACTCCTGTCTGACCTCATCTGTCAATCTGTCCATCACCAAAGCATACAAGAAGAGGATTCCCAGATCTTCATTGTATGACTCATCAACTTTGCTTATAATGTATGATTTTCTATTTATAGGGCACATCCACTTGCTCCTATCTGATCTTCCTCATTCATTAATACTAATATTCTGGAACAAGATGATCATTGCAAGGACAAACGGTGTCTACAAATGCAAAGGATAACGGTAGGGTTTAATGTGTGTCTTGGGTTTAGATCATGGCCAAAGTAATGGAGATGTACCAGCTGAGCAAAGTGGTCCTTCAGTGTGGAGCCAGACTGGGCTGCTTCAGTACGGAACAGATTGACTGAAACATTAGAAGTGTATAAAGTTTATTTATAGTTGAAGCATTTTGTAACATGCAAGTGCTGAACACTTTGAACATGGTGTAGTCGTCTGAGAGCATTTGTATGTAATGTCTTTATTTGTGTATGTGTTTCAGGCCAAAAGGGGATTAACCAAGTTATTCCACTCCTGATGATGGGACTTTTGTTAAATCCTGTGAGCATGTGTGGTTGACACAAGTAGTGTTGTGAGTATGTAATCTGACATGTTTAAAATGTGTATCTATGGACTTTGTGATTGAATTCATGTTTTGTCAATTTGAAGTGTTTTGCTATTTAAAAAAGTAGTTGTTATTCTGTTCATTGTGGAAGTATTCTGGTTGGATTCAACTTACTGCATTTTGGGACTTATTTTTGGGATTTTTTTTCCATGATAGTAAGGCCTATAGCCTTACTTAAGGCATGTTTTGGATGATTTTTGA